GCCACCGTCACCTCGTTCAGGTTTAGAATGCTTTCATCTCCTCAAACAGAAACCCTGGGCCCTTTAGCTCTTGGCCTCCACTCCCTTTCCTCCCTTCTCCAGCCCAAGCAACATTTAATCTGCTTTTTGTCTGTAGATTTTCTCCTCTGGGCATTCCCCAGGAATGGAACCATATAATATACGGTTTGGGGGAGTGGCTTCTTTCACGGAGCATATTTTCAGGATCCATCTATGTAGCATGGGACAATCCTTCTTTTGCATGAGCTACGTTCCTATCCTGCTCTGTTCCTTTTTAAGGCTGAGTCGTATTCCATTGTGTGGACCGACCACATTCTGTTTATCTATTCATCCACTGAGGAACACTTGGGTTGCTTCCACCTTTTGGCTCTTATAAATAATACTGCTGTAAACATTTTGTGTACCAGTCTCTGTGTGGACATATTTTCATTTGTCTTAGGTACATAGCTAGGTGGGAATTGCTAGGTCACAAGGTACCTCTATGTTTAATTGAGGAACTACTAAATTTCCAAAGCTCTGCACCATTTCCCATTCCCACTAGCTGTGCGGAAGGATTCTGATTTCTCCACGTCCTCACCTCAGCCTGTTCCAAGACCCGCTCCTACTCTCCTACTTCAGATCTCAGCTTAAGCATCTCCTCCCTCCCCCAGAGGGTCCTTCTTGAGCCTTAAACGCCCTGCCGGGGTCTAGGTCCACCTTCTTTGCTTTTTGCTCTCAGAGCCACCCTGGCAGGGCTCAGCACAATTACTCTTCCACTGGCTTTTCCTCACTCTTTGGCTCACCTTTGCAACCCTGACCCAAAGCCTGGCCTGCATCAGCAGCTCCCTCAGATCTGTGGAATGGAGGCCCAGAAGGGCAGCGCAAAGATCGCATGACTCATGCAAAGTCACGGGGAGGAGCGTCTCTTGTCCATATCTGCCCTGCCCCTGCAGCAGCCACTGGCCATGTATGGCCACCGAGCACTTGAAATGTGCTAGTGTGACTGAAATAAAACTTTTCATTTCAGCATGTTTAAATGTAAGTAGTGCAGGTAGGAGCAGGGTAGCAACCGTGTCCCCAGCACAGGACTGAGTTCCGCTTCCCGAGCCTTGGAATCTTCTTTACCACGCAGAGTTCCTCCCTAACCCTGGGAGGTGAACTTCACCCTGTAGTCCACCCAGTTTGGGGTGACCACTGGCTGAGTCTCAGGCATGGCTGGCCACAGATGCTCCTCTTGTCTAGACCTGGGGGAGACCAAGAGGCTCTGACCATGGAGAGTCTGCAGAATCAGGAAGCTCTCTTTCCAAGGTGGCCACGGAATTGACCTGATCCCTCTGCTTGCACTATCTATGTGGGTATGTGAAAATGAACCACAACTTAAAACCCTGTGCCTCAGTTGCACTAGCCACCATCTCAAGCCCTGGGTGGCCACACACGGCTAGTGGCTACCATAGGAGCATGGCAGATACAGGTCATACAGAGTTCTGTTGACCCATCTGGCCCCAGGTCTCCTTCATAGAAGTTCCTCCCATCCCTCCTCCAGGAGAACCTCCTTCCCCACCCCCAGCTCCCAAGGCTGCAGGACCAGGCACCAACCTCCACCAACCCTGAGCCCTGCCCCCTGTGCAAATGGGGCCAGCCTGGGACTCCCCACAGCCTCTGGGAGACCATCTGCTCCCCAAAGCTCCCAAGTCCTAGCACTTCCCTTCCCTTCCTGGGCTCTCAGGAGTGAGAATATCCTCCCTCTGAGTGTTCTCCAGATGCAAAGCCTCAAAGAAGGGGAGAAAAGAGGAGGGCCTCTCTTTCCCTTTCTCAGGCACCTCCTGGTTCACTGGCTCAGTCTCTCACTGCCCACTCTTTCACCTACAGATCAGGATCCAGGTTGCAGCTGGAGGCCTGCAGAGAACACCTGATCCAACCTTCTCAATTGCATAAGGGGAAGCAGGCCCAAGGAGGAGGACTGCCCAGTGCAACCTCCAACGAATACCAAATTACTCCAAACAATGAGCAAGGAACAGGAATGAACTGTGTGGAGCACTTACTAGGTGCTTTATAAATGACCTCAACCTATATGATATCACTGGTTTTGTTGCCAGTTTCATATTGTTCTCTCAGGCTCAGAGAGGTTAGCTCACTTGCTGAAGGCCACACAGCTGGTAAGAGCTAGGACTCAAACTCAGGTCAGCCTGAATCTAAAAGCCAAGTATTGCTGCGTGGAGAGTGAATCCTGGGCCAACTCAGCTGGAGGGGAGGGCATGGGAGGTGGGCCAGGTGGCATGTGATGGGAGAAGTGAGCAGAGAGAGGTTCTGGATGTGGCACACAATGTTACATTGTCCAGTGCTCTTGGGGATTGCTTGGGCATTGTGACTGTGGCTTTAGAATTCAAGAATAAGAAGCTCTCACTTGTAAGAAGAGCTTGTAAGATTTTCTTAGGAAATTTTTGTCCCAGGACGCACTCCCTAAGTTCAGAGATCTTGAGCCGTGCATGCTAGATATGCTCCCTTGCCCAGGTGTACCAATCTCACTTTGAACCCCTGAGCTAGGGGGACCCTACTCTGCAACAGAGTTTCCAGTTTTCTAGGCTGCAGAGTTCAGTCACTGTGATTCCCATTTGGGGGATGAACCACGCCCTCTAGTGGAAAGGGGTGGACTCTCAGAATTACACCCTAAGGTTGTAACAGGAGGGGCCGGGTGGTTGAGGTTCTGCCTATTCCGAATTCTAGGAGATGTGGTTGTTGGCTTCTTTCCTTCTTTTTCAACCATCCAGTGTGATGAAGTGGATCCACAGGTCTGTGTTGTGGTTGGGACTTTGGGGCACTGGGTAGGAAGACGGCCGGGTACAAAACCCCACCTTGGAGTTGATGCCTTCAGATTGGAGTCCTTCCTGTGATCCCCAGGCCTCCTGCATTAGGATCCCCCACAGCGTCTGTGAAGGTGCAGGTTCCTGGGCCTCTCAGAGGGCAGGATCAGGCTCCCGAGGCCTGCTCGGGCTCCGCACTTTCCTGGGCTCTCAGGTGGCTTTAACAGGTTCAGTCCAAGAGCCCTGGGGCTGGTGACAGCAGCTCTTGACTGTGTGTCCCTCCCCCATCCCTGTCTGGAAGGACACTGCCCACCATTCCAGGCCCATTTATGTGCCACTTCCATGGTGAGACCACACCCGTGGTCCATCCAGATCTGAGATCCCCACACACCGCATCCGGTCCTGGCCTGGGCAGGTGCTCAGAGCAGACAGCAGGTGTTCACTAGCACTTGCAGTATACTCCCAGAACTGCTTTACTTCTTCTCAGTGGACCACGCAGGGAATTGGAACAGATGGGCCTGTGGCCAGGCTACTGCCAGGTGCCTTGGACAGTGAATGCCCACCCGCCCTGGGCTCAGCTTCCTTCTTTAGCAGCCCTGAAAACCACACCTGCCTCCAGGGGAGGGAACTCGGGGAGATGTGCAGGGTCACGTGCCTGACCAGAATGGCCACCCCAGCTGGCTGTCTTCAGTTTCCCCTGTGTACAATGAGGAGGCAGAATGATGTCAAGAAAATGATGCCAAGCTGGAGAAGGAGGCAGCCTGGTGCCTGGCAGTGATGGACGCCTGCACAGCCCTGAGGGCTGGAGGGATGCAGGACAAGGGCTGGTATCAGGACAGGAGCCGGACCCTTTGCTGGGCCCTGGAACTGTGGCAGGAGGCTGCTTGGGAAGAGCTGGAGTGGCACTGGAGGCTCTGGAGCCAGTTGGAGCTGCAGTGGACACAGCCACTCCATGCAATCGCCACCACACAGGGCGACAGCTGCCCTGGCCTCCTGGCCTCCTGGCCTCTCCTCTCCCCTGGCCTCTCCTCTTCCCAGCTCCCACCACCACTTCCCACGGGTGAGGGAGGCTGAGAAGCAGGGTTTGCATGAGGGAGGGGACCTGCCAGCTGCTCCCAGCACCCAGTTCCTCAGCTCCCATTCTCCGACCAGGCCAGCTCCCCGCCAGCTCATCTCCTTCCCATGCCACCCTGCTTGGGCTCCTGCCGGGAAGAAGCCTCCTTCACTTGGGCCTGACTCTAAGTGATCTTTAGGTTGATTTCAGCCTCCTCACTCTCTACACAGCATTCTTAACTGGCCATCACTGTCCAGAGCAATAGGTGACACACTGGTGAGGACACCCCCTAAGGTGACCTTTGTAGAACCCTCTCTCCTTGGATGTGGTGGAACATGCAGCTTCATTCTAGCCCAGAGACCAGGACAAAGGCAGTGGGTGGGTGTTACACCCACAATTACGGTACATCGTGTAAGACTGTTCTAGAGGGCCAGAGCGAGAGGTTCTCCTGCTGGCCTTCAAGGAGCCAACAGGGGGCCTTGAAATTTCTGTGAATTCCCACCAGGACTTGGGAGACCTCTCCCAACAGCCAGTAACTGCTGGCGCCGTGGTCCCACACCTGCGAGAAGATGCATCTGCTGACAACCTGAATGAGCTTGGCACAGGTTGTGTCCTTGCTGGTCACGTTTTTGGATGAGAACACAGCCCGACTGCCACCAAACCATAGTCTTGTAGAGACCCTGAGCACAGGACCCAGGAAGCTCGTCTGGATTCCTCAGCCGTGAAGACCATGAAAGATGTGTGCTTTAGGTGGGGACACTTGGGGTGCTTGGTTACACTACCATAGAAAACTCACCCACAGGGGGGAGAAAGCCTCTTACCCCACTGCCCCAAACCATGCAGTCCCATCTGAAAGGTGGATGACAGTCACTCGGCTCCTTCCCTCCTTTCCTCTGTCTCAGGCTGAGCCACAGAGTCAGGGACAAGGGTCAGGTGTGTCCTTCCGGGTACAGGTGGAGCTGCAGCCAGCAGAAGGGAGATTCTGAGGCCTGTGGATGCAGGTGCTCCCACCACACCCCTGGGAAGCGGGATTTGGGGTGCTCTGGGGCCAAGGGTGGCAAGTGGCCTCGTGGCACTTTCCATCCTCAAGTGAGGACCAAAGTTCTAAGGAAACACTGCTAACTAGGACAGTCAGCTGCACACTGGAGTCCCCTTTAATGTCATTTTATTTCCTTTTATGCAGACCCACGTGGGGGGAATCCCATAGAATCTTCTGGAAACTGTCAAGATAGTGGGAAGATGAATGCAAAACTTGCATAGATTGGGATGCCCACAGTTTGGATTTTCAGGGCCTAAAATATGAAACAGAACAAAGCAAATGGGAATTTTAGGATAAGAATGCAACTCATATCCTCCAGGATGGGGACAGGGAGGCCTCTCCACCATAACAGTGGGCAGTTCCCAGCCCTGCTGCACCTCGTGATCACCTGGAGGGGGGGGTTTTAAAGACTCTTAAAATTCTAGGCATACTTTAAATAAAGCAAAGTCAACAGGTCTTGAGTGCACTTGGGAGTTTTCGCAAAGCCAGAATGTCTGTGCAGCTCCTGCCTCCCCAAGGTAGGGGATGTCTGCAAGGGGCTAGAAACCTGGCTCACAGGTAGTGCCCTTGCCTGGCAGATGCAAGGCCCTGGGTTCCATCACTAGTGTACACACACACACACACACACACACACACACACACACACACACACCCCTGCAGCCCTCAGAAGTCTCCTTCATGTTCTCACCCATTAATATCCCACTGCCCCACTTAGTCCACAAAGAAAATTGCTATCCTCATTTCCAATAGCACAGGAAGTAACCTGGAAAGCATTTATAAAAACCCCAGGCCTCAGCCGGCCGTGGTGGCGCACACCTGTAAACCCAGTGGCTTGGGAGGCTGAGGCAGGAGGATGGCGAGTTCAAAGCCAGCCTCAGCAGCTTAGTGAGGCCCTGTCTCTAAATAAAATACAAAAAAGGGCTGGGGATGTGGCTCAGTGGTTAAGCGCCCCTGGATTCACTCCCTAATAAAAAAACAAACAAACAAACAAACAAACAAAAAACCCAGGCCTCATTCATGCAGCATGTGGTCTCCTGCTCTGGGGAGGCTTGAGTGTTTCTAGGCCCAGGTGATTCTGACGGGCCATAGACTGACAAGTCTTCTCTGGCCTCTGCGTAGTCCCAGCTGTCCTCCTGTGGATGACTGGAAGCCAGGGGCCCCCAAAATGGGATGGGAGAGAGAAGGAGCAAAAGGAAATCCAAGAGAAATGAGACTGAAAGGAACGCTCACGTGGCTTCTGCAGCACGGCTGGACGAAGCCGAACTTCTGTGTGATCTGGTTGGTGCTGAACTCCTGCCACCTGCCTTCCACCAGGGCCTGGGCTCGGATCTCATACTTCACCAGACGCTCCGACTTCAGGCTGACAGCGCTGTGCTCGCAGATGGTGGAGGGGGAATCCAAGTCTGTGTGCCTTATTCTCTGCAAAGAGAGTGACCCATCCCAGGTGGACCTGTGACTGGGGTGACCAGGGTTGGTGGGACCCTGTTCTGGGCACATAGACCCTTCCTGTGTGCAGATAGCAGGGGCCACTTCCCAAATGGCATTAGCTCCTGAAGGCCACTACTGAGTCTGCCGGCATCTGAGCCCTCACCATACACAGACCACTGTCAGATGGACCGGGATTCGGCCAGCCCAGAAAAACACCCAGTCAAGCTCTGTTGTTGCTTCTGCATGTTCCTGAGTGAGGAGAAACCCCGACCCAGGATTCCCACGGCCTTTAGACTGGTGGTATTCCATGACCCATCTTTTCTATCCAATAAAACCCCCTGGGTAGGGAGATGCCTGAGTGCCTGAGACCAGAATGGGGGCCCAAGGAAGAGACTTGCGCTTCCAGAAGGTGAGAGCTCACTGGGAATAAAACTCAGAGCCATCATTTGTTCGTTTATCCACCCATTCAGCCGGTCATTCAAAGCTCCCCCTTTTCCAGGTTCAGAGACTGGCAGTGGTCATGGGAAGATTAAGTCAGGAAGCTTGCAAATGGTACAGGAGAGAGACTGCTACGTAGGCCCTACGCGGACCACAGCAGCCCTTCATCACAGAGGTCAGTCATAACCGCCGTCAGTGCTGACACTCACAGTGTTGGACAGGGGTCAGCTCAGAGGGAGAGCACAGGCTTAGCATGCGGGAGGCCCTCAGCGCCAAACAAAACAGAAACACAGAGTGCCTTCCGCGACAGATCCCGTTCCAAGCCCTTCGCACAGATCAGTGCAGCAATGCCCATAGCCATCCTGGTGAGGCGGGTCTTGTGACCTTTCCCATCTTAAAGGTGGGAGGTTCGGGGAATTCCAAGCTCATACAGCGCACCAGGCAGTCTGCCTACCTCTCTGCTCATTAATGGCTGTCCCCTGCCTCTCGTCAGGGTCCAGCAGGAGCACCGACTCCTCAGCATCCCGCCCACTGCCGTACTGTGGCTCTAAACGGCTGCCCCCTCCCACTGGTGGGCACTCTGCATCGCCTCCATGGAAGAAGGACACCACCCATTGAGTACAAATCAAAGACGAATTAAACCCTAAATGGAAAGGAGGAAGGCTGAAATCCAACCCTACAAACATGGAGCCACCCAATCTTGAGACCCTCCTCGGCTCACAGTGCCTATCTCCTGAGGTGGTAGTGAAAATCAAATGACATCAGGTTATGAGCACTTACGATACAGTCCATGTGAATTACTAATCAACCAGCCATTACTGATCAATACAAACCGACAGACTGTAGACTCTGGTATCAGAGACGCGACTGTCCGGTGCTGTCCTTACCTGCATGTAAAAACTGTAAGAGGTAGTGTCATGTTTGATTCCCTTTATCTCAAAGAAGAATCCATATATAGAAATCATCTTTGAATGAGTGGTGTTCTCCTACAGAGGGAGAGAGAGGCAACCAAGTGAAGGAGGGCCACCTTCAGTATTCCAAGGCAAGGGGCCGGCAAACTCGAGTGACACCAAAAGCGACTCATGGACAAGGGACCTGAAAGTGGAAATGCAATAGCAATTCCAGCCCTGGAAGCACGGGGAAGCCAAGTGATGACTTTTTGATTTAGGGGTGAGGCGTCCTCCAAATGCTCACGTGTGAAACAACACAGGAAGGTTCAAAGGTAAAATGATTCAGTTATTTTGTGAGAGCCTTAACCCCAACAGTGGATTAATCCACTTGAACGGATTAACTGCGTGGTAGGTCTAGGCAGGTAGGGTGTGTCTGGAGGACATGGGTCACTGGGGGTGTGCCTTTGGGGTTCATATTTTGCCCTGGGTAAGTGGAGTTCTCTCTGCTTCCTGGTGTCATGTCCCCAGCTGCTTTCTTCCACCACACTCTTCCGCCATGATGTTCTGTCTCACCTTAGGCCCAGAGAAATGGAGTCAGCTATCTGTGGACTTAGGTCTTTGAACCCCAAGCCGCAAATAAACTTTTCGTTCTCTAAAATTTTTTTATCAGGTTCTTTGGTCACAGCAATGAAAAAGCTGACTTAGACAGACATCATCAATTTTTTTGGCAGGTTAATATTGATTATTATTACTACTAACAGTACAGTTAGTAGGAGTTAGTAGTTGATGCTGAGTAGGGACAATATGTTTACCCTGCACGCTCCTTAATGAGGAAAGGCATGAGTTAGGTATGTTCCTAGGTGACCTGTGCGTTGCAGGCCTTTGAAACAAAGTGTTTCGTTCCAATTTGATGGACCTAAGAGGCACTCCCTGCTCAAGGTACTTGCTCCTGCAACCTACAGACCCACTTGGGTGGGTCTCTGCAACCAGAGGCTGATCCAGGGGATTTTCTCAGATGAAAGATTTGGGATCCCCCGTCCTTGAGACATTGAATTCTTTGGTGATCCCTCCTGGAATGCCTGTAGCCCATTTTGTGCCATCATCCCAGATGTGGAACACCTATAAAAACTTAAATATAGAATATAATATGTATAATAATTACCTGATATAATTATAAAATAATATAATTATAGTATGATATAATAATTATAATACTAATTAATATAATGCTATATATGACTCCAGATTATGGTTTCTAACCCATTTCCATGCTCCTGTATCAATTTTGTTGAAATATTTGCAGAATTGAAAACTTGGGCTTAATAGGTTAGGGAGGTGGAAGGAGACTGGCAGCCTGTGCCCATCACCGGAAGCACAGACAGCAGACACTGGCTGTAGATGCTCCCCATGCCTGATCGCCAGGGCGCCTTCACCCCAGCTCCTTGGCCCCCAGTGGGGTTCGTCAAAGTAGCTGCTGGGAATAAGTACACCCTTGCAAGCTTCAACACAGACTTGGAGTGGAGGCTTGTCCAGCCTGTTGGGAGGCGTCCATGTCTGTGGGAAATTGGGAGAATCAACTCCTCATCCGTTTCCTAGGACTTTCCTGGTTTTAGAATGGAAAGACTTGGATCCCAGGAAGACTCTTCTATCCTGGGGAAACCAGGACCGTCTATCCTGGGGAAATCTGGGGTTCATGGGTTGGATTCCTGGATGTCCTGTCTCAGGCCCCTGTTCTGGGGGCCCCTGACTCTCCTATCAGAGGAGAAAAGATCATGGCCCGCCCTAGAGAGGTCCTTGATCAAGCGCAGGGCACGCTTCTTCCCCTTGCTTGAGTCCACTTCTCAGCACCTGGTCAAAAAGCAGCCCAAATCTCACAGCCTGGGTGGTCAGATCTTTCAGGTGGGCCATGTCACCTCCGCTCTCCAGCTGAAAGGGAAACGCACGCGGCTTACCAGCAGTGGAAAGGAGCCTCTGTCGCCTCCCCCATCTTCCTGGGTCTCCCCAGCCGCCACCACCACGGTCCTGGGAGGAGTTCCATCTCCAGACCCTCTGTCCAGCCATTCATCTGGTCCACAAGAATTTATGGAAAACCTACTGTGTGCCGGGCCCTGTGCTCGATATTTTCAGAGAATACAGAGAGGAGAGAAAGAAAAATCCCTGAGCAGTCTCACTGGGGAAATAAAATGTACACATCAGGGTCTCAGTAATGAGGCCGAGAATGGCCACGGTCAGAAAGTCCAGAACAAGCAAGAGCCCCATGACCAAGTCCACGGACAGGGCAGCGGGATGGGGTGGGGTGTCCCCAGGGGATGACACTGGCAGCTGCCGGCAAAGGGAAGGAGGTGGCAGGGTCAGAGGGGAGAAGAGAGAGTCCGTGGGGACTTCCTGGGGTGTCAGCCCCAGAGACTGTCCCTGGGGTGCTCTGTTACGGCCTCCTTCTGAGTTGTCCCGGAGAAGCACCATCCATGAAGTCATTTCTAATGTGCAAGGAGGGTGGAGCTGGGAGGCTGGTTTGCCACCACAAAAGGTATTTGTTGAGCTGGTTGCATTTTAACTAGTGACTCATGCATCTTCAGACCTTGAACAATGCCCAGCTTCATCTCTACAGATGCTTGATTGGAAACCCATGAGAAATACGACAGTTTGCATAGATAATTCACAAAGAGGGACATGCTGGCCTGGAAAAATATTCATATTTACTAGTAATAAAGGAAAGGCATACTCAAAACTGAGATGCCATTGTCCCCTTCACGGTCAACAAAAGTCATTTGAAATTAAAATGCTCTATATTGTTGAGGATATACAAAGCCAGGCATATTCATTTATTTCTGAAGAAAGAGTGATTTTTGTCCCAACATTTGTTAATATCTATCAAGAACAAATATGCACATTCCTTTTAGAGCCAGTATTTCTGCTGTTGAAAATCTCCTCTAAGGAAACAATTCAAAGCACAGAAAAATAAATGGTGATGTAAAAATATGTTCCCCATATGATCATTTATAACAATAAACAATTAGAAACACTATACTTTTTCTATAATAAGGGAAAGTCCAATAACGGCAGCTCTGGCACATTCTGTGGGTGAAAGGGTTGGCAGCTATTAAGAAAGGTGTTAGGAAGTACATATACTTGAGTATATTATATATTTTAAAAAGAATAAATATCATAAGATGTCAACAGCGGTTGTCTTTGGGTGATGGGTCTAAGGGTATTTATTTTCTATTTCTCTGCATGTTGAAAAATTTCAATTATAAGCACATGTCACGTTCTTGTCTAGTGGGGGCTCTGGAGGCTGGGGTGACTGGAGCCCCCATGCTGCAGACCATCAGTGCACAGGCCTTGAACACCAGGATTCCCAGGCTGGACCTCCTCCCTCCTCTCCTTCCCAGGTCCAGCTCTCCCTGATTCCCCTGGAGGAGGATCCAGGTCTCAAAGACCCAGAGGTGGCAAACATGAAACACATCTTCAGAAAAGGCAAAGTCAAAGAGGCAATAAATTCGGGTGATTTTTTTTCCCTTGATGAGCAGACTCACTGCGTGGTAATGGTTGGCTGTAACCCGGATCAGCCAGGACTCGGGAAAGAAGTTAATGTGCCTTAACTCCTCCAGATCCCTGCCTTGAGAGAAGCACAAAGAGAACATGTTTACGGTTTCATTCATAACAGAACCTCCAAAATGTCACAGAAAGAAAAAAGAAGATGTCAGGAGCCAAAGGGAAGGAAGGGGCAGGTCTCCTTCAAATTTGGGTTGATAAAATGGGAAGAAGACAACTCAGAATCACTGTGGTGGTGTACAGAGTCTGGTTCTTTTATATTCCAAATGAATTTTCTTTTAAAAATTTTATAACAATAAGCAGGGCATAGTGGTGCACACCTGTAATCCCAGAGGCTTAGGAGACTGAGGCAGCAGGATCACAAGCTCAAAGCTAGCCTCAGCAACTTAGAAAGGCCCTAAGCAACTTACTGAGATCCTGTCCTAAAATAAAAAAATAAAAAGGGCTAGGATGTGGCTGGGTGGTTAAAGTGCTCCTGGGTTCAATCCTGGTACCAAAAAGAAAAAATAAAATACCAATGAACTTTCAAAGGAATGAATGAATTCACTCCAAATCAGAGAGCAATTTCAACTTCAGCAGGAAATTCTCGTTGCTACATATTAATGCTTTAAAAAGCAACTTATGATCTTTTAATAGAAACGTATTCCCAACAATCCTACAAAAAGACGTCAGTGCCCTGTGATCCTGGAGGGTGCTTGGGGAACTACGTGAAAGGAGCCATCAATGGTCCTCAAAGGGCAGCTTCACCCGCATGCTGCAAAGAGACTTCTATCCTCACAATGTTACCAAAATATTAAAAGAAGTGGTGAAGAAGATTTTAGGCTGAGTATTGCTGATTCAAATTTGCTTCTGTTTTAATTTTTCTTCCAATATTTTCCCTAGGTCTCCATGGGCATCCATGAGGTGTGCTTCAGTTACAGAATACCCCCCACCCACCCCAGCGTTCACAGTGCCCTGGCTGCAATCCTGCCTGGCAAGGGAGGCTTGGAGTGAGATTCTCAGAGTTGTTGGAGCATCTAGAAGCAACCTGGACAAGACAACCCGACTCCCTCAGCCTTCCCGGGGTTTCAGAGCTACTCAGTACATGTGGACAGATGAAAATGGATTTGAGGGCTGGGGGGTGGCTCAGTGGTAGAGTGCTCCCCTAGCATGTGTGAGGCACTGGGTTCGATCCTCAGCACCACGTAAAAACAAAGATATTGTGTCCACCTACAACTAAAAACTGAATATTTTAAAAAATTTAAAAAAGGAAAAAAAAAAAAAGAAAATGGCTTTGAAAAGTTCTCAAATATCCTCTAAGCCAGGGCAAAGATCTCATTGGGTGGCTTCCTGTTCTGCCTAGAATATATTCCCCAACTTTCCAAATCTCACTTGACTCCCCTGTACCCAGAGCATGAGGTCAAGGGAATATAATCTGGCTTTGGGGCACAGACCTAGAGTTTTTAGATCAATTGAACAATTTGTCCTCTGGGTGTTCACTTTAAGAATTTATCCCTGAGGGCAGCAGTGGATCACATCTGTAATCCCAGCACCTGGGGAGGCTGAGGCAGGGAAATCGCAAGTTCAAGACCAGCCTGGCAAATGAGTGAGACCCTATCTCAAAATAATAACTTTTTTTAAAGGGCTTGGGATGTAGTGCAGTGTCTCTGAGTTCAATCCCCAGTACCACCACCAAAAAAATATAATAAAAATTTGTCCTTGATAGATGCAGTAAAGGGGAATTGAAAGCATTAGGTCCCAGTCTATAATGCTGCCTAAATTCAGCCAAATATGAGCCCAACAAATTTTAGAGTGCTCCCCTCATGGTCTCCTACTTTGCTGTATGTTTGTTCCAAGAGGACTTGATGTTTGGATATGCTTGCCAAGGGGGGACAGGAAACGGAAGGTGCCATCACCAAGCCTAGTTAGGATACTGGAAGCCAAGGCGGCCGTGACCACATGCAACCTGTGAGTCCTGGGAAAGGCAGAGCCGGGTGAGCTCCGCAGTGCAGAGCAGGCAGCAGCACAGGGGCACAGCGGTCACCAACAGTTTCCAAAGACCCAGCACCTGACCACAAGTGTGGGGTCCACAACACCAAGACCCACACTTCCTTCTCCAGAGGACTTGAACTGCTGGACAACTTGTTCAATTGATCCAATTTTTCTCTGGAAATGCCAAACAAGTGACCTAGAAGTCAATCCTCTGCTGAGGCATTTCCCACAGTCCTATGGCAAGGAGACGGCCCTGGCAGCTGTGCCCTGCCTCACCATGGAGAGCCACCTCTGTCCGTCACCCCATGTCACAGAACCTCTGATTATCCCCATTTTACAGACAAGGAAACTGTGACCAGAGGTTACTTGATGCTCCCAAAGTCACACGGCTCGGAAGTGACAATGCAGATTCCAGCTGGTTCCTTTGGAAACATCTGGTAGGGCTTCTTGGGAGTGGCTGAGGGGTGGGGCAGGTCCCCAGCTGCTTTCCTGGCACAGGGGTGGCACTTACCGCTAGTGATGCTGTGCAGACGCAAGCAAAGGAAGAGCGGCAGCCAGCTCTGTCCTATGTCTCGGTCCAGAAAGCAGCACTTCTTGGGAAAGCTTAGCAGAGGCACAGAGAAGAACAGAAGCCCTTCAGGATGCTTCCTTCTGGAATGGGAGAGCGCTACCGAGAGCCCGGCCATAGACCAGTGGTTTCAGCAGCAGGGGCAGATGGCACCTGGGTCTCTGGGTGGGGTGGGCGAGGAAGCAGGAGGCAGCTTAGAGAACACTTGTGACTCAAACCCCAGAGAATGTCATTAGACAAGTGGCTACGTCCCGCTTCCTCCCCGAGAGCTCTGCACATACTGTAAACACATGTTAAGTGACTGATGGGAACACATGGTGACAGAGGGTTTTGATCCACCTTTTGTCCCCCGAGTCTCACAAGCTTCCTGCGGTACAAACAGGGCAATGATCATCAGCCCATTTTACAGATGGGGCATCTGACTCCTCCCTACAGATAGTACCCTTGCAGCAAGTGACCTAATCCGGCCCTTCAAAAGTTTTCTGAGGGCTGGGGATATAGCTCAGGTGGTACAGTGCTTGTCTCACATGCACAAGGCCCTGGGTTCCATCCCCAGCACCAAAAAAAAAAAAAAAAAAAAAATTCCAGTAGAATTACAAAGAAAAGAAGGGTGGGCATGAGTGTGGCTGGTTTCGGCAGCTGACTTTTCCAAAAGTTCTGCAACAGCCAGTTGGTGCTAAATGCCAATTAATTTCCACACAGGCTGAAGGTCAGGGCTGGCTGGAGATGATCAAATTCCCCTTGAGAGGTCAGGCACATACAGACACATCCACCACCTCTGTTTTGAAATAATTTGTTTCATAAAATGGTCATTTTTCACAAATAGGGACAATGGGGGATAATTTTTCCAAGTCCCTTTGGAAATGCAACGTCATTCCCTTGAGACAGATCCTGCATCAAACCAGCCAAGGGCACTTTTGGATCATTTTTCCATAAACTGAGCGTCCAAATCACACCCTGTCCCAGCTGGACCGGATGGATGCCTCTTGGCCCATCTTGCCTTGGTTGGGGGTGCCTGCCAACCTGCCCAGAACCACTAGCCTGCATGGGATCCGGGAATTCCTGGGACTTCCCAGCTCCTCTCCATGTCAGTGAGCTCCGCAGATGGGCCTGGGGTGCCGAGGGTCTGTCAGAGGGGGAAGGGTACACGACGAATGCGGTCTGACCCCGTTCAATGAGCGTTTCCTAAAACCCGCCACGTGCCTGTTTCTGGGGGTGACGATGAGGCTGAATAAAGGAAGGTCAATACTTGCAGGACTCGGGGGTTATGGGTTCTGGAACCCTCCCCCCATCACCCAGGGTGCCCTGAGAACATAGGTGTCTTAGGTAACACTCAGGTCCCTTCTGCCTCCTGACCTGGATGCCACCACCTTCTCTGCCCCCTTCACCATTTAACAGGGAGCACGGGGAAGGCGTGGTGGCTGGCAACAGAGGTCAAGGAGGAAGAAGGGCAGAAGCTGGCATAGCACTCCCCACCCCACGGAGCACTCTGGGGAATGAACCAGTCCCCATGGCAAGGGCTTCCCCAGCCCAGGCCCAGGCTGTGGGTACCAGCCCGAGCTGCAGCTTAAGTATCATCAGACGCCTCCCCAGAAGGGAAATTCCAACCCGGAAGCCGCAGCACCAGCCCCGCTGCTCTGCTTGGAGAGGAGGCTGCTGGGCGAGAGGAGGACTCAGTCCCCAAGGGTCACCCAAGATCTCTCTGGACAGCCCTCCTGTCCCAGAGGATATGGGAAGAGCTTTGTGGTTAGGTGACGAGGCTTAATGACCTCTTGGGGAAGTGGCAGGGGTGCCCACTGTCATGGCTGAACTGGAGAGGTCACGGGTCAGCTGTCATCCAACCAAGCTGGGTCCTGGAGTCAGACCAGCCAAGGTCCCATCCTGGTCCAGCCACCATCGGTCATGTGTCTGAGCCTCTCTGAGCTTCGCTGTCCTTCTGTGTCAAGGGGGAACAACAGCCACACGTGCCTCTTTGGGTGGAGGGGGGACGTCAAGGTGACAGTGCTTGAGAGGAGCTTGGCACAGCTACCCATGGGGTCCTCAGCACCTTGTGAGGTACCACCATTGTCCTCTCAACCCCAACAATCTGGAGCACGGAATCACTCCTGGTGATCCTCAGTGCCACTAAGTCACCCAAGCCGTGGGCCACATCCCAGGAAGTAAACGGTGTACTCAGCTTCTAATTTTCTGAAATCTCAAAAGGCCAGAGGGGTGTGGCCCACTCCTTGCTCCTGGAGTCTGTGAGGTCAGCTGTCACGGAGCCAGCCCCAGTCCAGCCCGGGGCCTTTCCACCTCACCTGGTGCCTCTTGGCTGCCTGGGTGCAGAGGCATCTCCACTCTGGGCCTGGAGGTCAGGGCATTGGCCTCATGTCATACACAGAGGGAGCAGGCGGCTGGCGGCTCAGTCTGGGGACACCTTTGTATGGGTACCTTGGTGGACTCACCTGGGGCTGAGTCCTGTCTGTGCAAAGATTTCCCTTGGTTTAGCACCATGGGGGACAAACTTCAGGCTATGGTGTCTGCTTCTTCAAGTTCACTGAGAAACCGTAAGACATGTCCCTTTTAAGGACCACAGTTCTCAGTTCCTTGACATACCCGGTTGACTCTGGTCCCCTCTCAAGGCAACCCCCCTACAGCCCTCCTGAGAGACAGAGCCTGGGGCAAGGCTCCCCGCAAGGCCCAGGCTGGGATTCCAGAGATGCTCTCCCTCAGCTCCCCAGCCCCTCTCCATCCTGCCAGCTGCTGGGGTTCCCTGCCCTCCAGCGGAGGGGAGCCCCACAGTCTGCCAGATCCAGCACTTCAAATTTGGGTGATGAAATTCACACTCTGGTATTCTGACACTGCTGCTATGTGAACAGAGCTCGGGGGCATTATGCCAGGTGAAGAAGGCTGACATGAAAGGCAAAGGATTCCTCTCTAGAGTAGGAGGCTAGAGAGACCAAGAGCAGCAGAGGCCGGGAGAGGAGGAAGTCAGCATCAGGCTGGGGATCACTCAGTGCCTTTGAACCCACGTAAAAATGCTTCCAATGGTAAGTTTCATGCAATGTATATTTTATCACAATAAAAAAGACCTAGAGTTAGCTGGGTGCAGCAGCGCATGCCTGTAATCCCAGAGGCTTGAGAGGCTGAGACAGAAGGATCACAAGTTCAAAACCAGCCTCAGCAGTAGTGAGGCACTAAGCAACTCAAAGAGACCCTGTTTCTAAATAAAATACAAAAGAGGGCTGGGGATGGGGATGTGGCTCAGTGGTCAACTGTCCAGCCTCGATTTCAATCTTTGGTACCCCCTCCCAAAAAAAAAGATCTGGAGTTAAAAATTAGTTAGCATATTTGAAAAATATTTGAAATAACATACTAAATTTTAAAGTGAATTTTGAAAAAAAATTACATATTTTGGGACAATAACTCAAAAAGAGGAGAGAAGATGGCTTTTTGTCAAAGGGTAACTTGTACAGAACACCTGGGCACCTTCTGGAATCTATGAACCAGGAAATGGCCTGCTGGCTCCCAACTAATCCTGCTGCCACCGCACACTGTCACTTCCAGGTCAGTTCCTCCCATCCAGCGGGCCCGGCTGAACTGGCGTGGTACAGAAGCCAGAATTCAAAAAACCAGATAGTCAGCATAGAGAGATAAATGGGGCCAGATGGAAGAAAACAGACCAAACCAGTTTGGAGATTAAAATGTTAATGTCCCAAAGCCAGCCAATAGGGCCCATCCTAAAGAACGGTTAATGAAGCAAGTGGAGCAGACTGAACAGCCAATTAATCTGCCCTGGGCCCCTACCTGCCTGGATCACTCCTCCCCACCCCTCCAGCCCACCTCTTTCCCACCTTTGGGCCATCCCACCGAGCATCTCCTGGGCCTAGTCACCAACTAAGAAGGAGAGAGATAAGGGGGAGAGAGCAGGAGGACAAAGGAAGCCTAGGACATATAAAAGGCAGAACACCCTCACTTCTGGGGATACCAGGACACCAGCCATGGCCCCCTTCTCCCTCCTGGGAGAAGTCTATGTGACCCCTTTTTAAATAAACCTGCTCTATATGCCTGCCTCGGCGTGCTCTCTAATGTTCTACTTCAACATGTGGGGAGCAGAACACTGAACGGCGTTTCAGTACACCCACCACAGTGGTTAGGTTGCTGACCCCTTAAGCATGCACCTTGTCCAGACTTGAGCTCTGGGAGTTGGGTCTGCATTTTCTCTGCTTCCTGTGTCCACTCAACACCTCTTACAGTGCCAGGCACTTCGCTTATACTGTGTTGGGCGGGTCAACTGGATGGATGATCTGGCACCTGCCAACTGTCCAGCCTCCACCCCACCTGTCCTTCCCTCCACTCACCCATAATTTATCTCCAAGGAATGCCTTTGCTGACAGCTCCGCTGCTCAGGTGACTCTCTGCCAATGTCCTATGTCCTCTATTGCTATACTCCTTAGTCAGCCAAGCCCTAGCAGTCATTCATTGACATGCAGTCCAGTGTCACTTGTCCAGCTCTCGGGATGGTTCTGACACTTGCTCCAAGGGGAAACCCAGCAGGACTAAAATCATCTTCCGCTCTTCAAGGCTCTGTGGGTCTGGCTAAAGCAGTATTTGTTCCCATTTAACACCAGACAGCTGGCCAGAAAGTCACTCTGTTCATCCTTGCAGTATTTATGAGACATTCGATAGAGTAGCTTTCAGAGTTCAAGTGAAATATTTCAGAGGTTGCGGTCCCCATTAAAGAGCATTTAAGGCATCATTCATCCCAGTCTTAGTGAACATATTAAATATTGTGGACTTGGAGAACAAAGTTAATAAGTCACAGTGCCTGCTGCCGCTGTCCAGGGTGAGAGCCACACTTAGGAACAGGTTAAACTCTATGTGTTTTAAGTAAACAAGTGATAAATCACACCTTTAGGAATAGACACAAGAAAAGTGCACAAGACCTTTAGTAAAAGGTAAGACCTATAATAAACTATAAATATTAAGATAAATTTAAAAATATAAGTGGAAGCCGGGAGCGGTAGTGCATGCCTGTAATATCAGAGGCTTGGGAGGCTGAGACAGGAGAATTGCAAGTTCAAAGCCAGCCTCAGCAACTTCG